AGTTTAACTAGAAAGAGTATAAAAAGTAATAAGTTACGTAATCACAGATAAACACATTTTATACAATAGACAAGAAAAGGGGGGGTAGGATGAGTCATGTTGAGACGAAAAAAAATCAAGTTTTCTAAACAGGACAGAAGATGGCATAGTGTGAAATCTGTATGCTTTGTTATTACCAAGCCAGTGAGTGCTACATTCCCCACTGTCTCTTTCTCTGTACATAGATTTGGTTGGCTTCAGCTGTTTGATGGCGATGGCCTCAGCAAAACAAAACAGACTAGGTTTCTTCTGTTTGTTGATTTTATTTTGAACGCCTTCAGGTTGTCCACAACATGGCCAGGGTCCAGTAGATGGCGTGTAATCGCACTGTTTAATGCTTGTGGACCCTTTAGTCTCAGGTTCTTCATTATGTGTTTGGAGATGCGGACAGTAACTCTTCCAATGTATTTGCTTTGGCACGTACCTGTAAATTGGTAAATGCAGTTGGAGGTAACATGAGGTGGGAGTTTGTCCAATTTTGACTGTCTTAAACAACTAGTCATTTGATAAACATAAACTGGTTAAGCGTTTTACGTCGATTTCCAACAAGGCCTCCAGAGGAAAGGGTGGTACTGTATTTCCCGGTTAACCCATTGTTCCCCCCAGAGTCAGTATCCTTGCTGAGCAGACAACACCTCGGTGACTTTGCAGCATGAAAATTAGCACCCCATTAACGCTCCCGCAGCGGTAGGTATTTTCCCACCCCCCACTGTCCAGGTCTCAACACAAACCGTGGCTGCTTCTCAGATGGTACATATTGCCCCACCTCAGCGGGTCATGACAACTCACATGGTCTGGTCACATAATTGCACTTCCACCTTGCAGAAAGCATACAACCACCGTCTTGCATTGTCCTTTTGCTAGTTATATTGGCCGCACAAAGCGCACACTTCCCAAACGCATCTCTGAACATTATCCGGCATGGTTAGCAAAGGGACAATGCAAGACAATTACCAGCTCAATTCTAGAGCATTTGGTAAACTTAGGTCACGTAGCTCCACCAGAATCGTCTTTCAAGATCATCTACAAGGTGAGGCTAAATGTTACAAATGGCATCAAGTTTCGGCTTTTGTGTATGGCGGAGGCGCTGACAATTCGTCAATACAACGCAGAACTCTGTATACAGAAAAGTTTGTGCAGTCTCTTATTCTACCTTGGCCTTAAGCTCTTCACTAGTCGTTCCCTGTAAAAGAGAATTTGATTTTTTAAATTTTACTTTTAGTTTGCTTTGGCTTCAATAATTAATTCACTTTTATCACTCTCATATGTTCCTTTTGCAAATTTTCACACCCTCGTCACACTTGTTAAATTGACACTCAACTACCACCTTTATTCTCACTCAATAGCAATTTTAACCTTATCGAATTTCTCTCTGTGTGCCGTTGAGTACCACGTAATTTACAACTTTTAATTTTCACTTCTAAAACCACTTCTGAGTAATTATATCAATTATGTCAGCCATTCCCCTATTACTCAATAATAGACTACTATATATTTTTTGGTAAGTATAAATACGACTGTACAGCCTCTGAAGATGATTTCGTCGATAAGGAAAATTTTCTTCGCTGAATTTGTCTTTTATTTTCTTCATAACGGAAGCTTTATTTTTCGAATCAACTGGAAACACGTGTAATAGGAATGATTCAGCACCTGCTCAGACGCACATCTGGAAACTTAAACTACTCCTACGACAAATAGGAAAGAATAAATAGAACTACAAAACGAAAGTTTTGAAGTCGTGTGATTATAATCAATATGATTATGAACAATAAATAAATTGTGTTCGAAATCTTGTTATCCAGTAAATAATATTGTTTAACTGACTGTGTGATATTTTTTTTTATTTTTTTTTGTTTACAGCTTGATTCCACACAGTACTTTTTGGTAGAAGTATGGAATTTTCAGCATGGATATCGGTAGCCCAAATTTCACAGGCCGACCATAGATATCGGGTGTGCGTCGGCAGGTAATCGAACCCCGGACCATGTGCATGGTCGGCGGGAGTCCTAACCACTGTGCTATCTAATAAACGAAATAATACGGAATTTTCATCATTAGGCTCTACATTTATATATACACATTATAGTGAATGAATGAATTAGTCTTATGAACGACATTAATGCTGTTTGAATAACATCAAATCAATAAAATTGATAGATTACAGCTGAACAGCATCAACATAAAATAAGCTGAATGTCAGAAGAATTAAGAAAGATAATATTACACATTCATGAGTTTATAATCTCTACTGAGGGCCAGCGGGGGCAGTAGGAGTGGCTGGCTGGACTTGCTTCTTTTGGACACAGAGCACTGGTTGTTTGAGGTGAATGGCAATAGCCTCTGCTGTTTGGAGCATGCTGTGCTTCGACGATTTCGGTAATTTGTTAGGCACCCGGTATATTATAAAGAAGGATTCTTCCACGCTGGCTGCCTTGTGACCGGTTTGCACCAGATGGTCTAATGTCGAGCTGTTAATAGTTGTAACTACACCTTTACTTAGCCATTGTGGGATATGTTCTCGAGTGAGCACAAAAAATCAAGTTCCTAGAGCAATGGTCAAAATAACTCGCTCCACAAGAGCAGCTGAATTGGTAGATACAATCTGAAGTGGCTAGCTAGTCTAGGTACTTCATCTTTCAGTCGAGGTAACACCATCGGCCATGTAGAGAATAATACATGTAGTTTGCCAGCATTAAAAGTTCTTTGAACTGATTTTCTTAATTTCCTCGTAATTAACTCGCTTGGTATATCGCCCATGAATTGCAGTCGTATATAAAGAGGCTTCTTTTGTACGGATAGAGAGTAGTCCTTTTCCGGAATTTGCAATAATGACAAAATTTATTCCAACTGTTTTTATTATTTTCAACAATGGAATCTCACCTCCATCTGTAAAACCGGTCAGAGATAATTCCTCCAGATCGAAGGATCATTCGGTTATGTCATACTTTGTCAGTTATGAAATCCAGCCGTTGCTTCTGTCTGGACTCTTGACTGAGTAATATATAATTATATATGTTGTTTATGCTACCTACCAAAATGATGAATGGCTGTAACTGAACTGAGAGAGGTCTAAAGAAAAATAACGTCTACTGGTGAGACATTCTTCCACGTCCTAGGCGACTCTACTCGCCATCTTCAATACAGTTTTTAGGCAATGCCACCATCTATCTCTTTAGGCCGATTGTCATTGATAATTAGGAAAGCTAACATCGCCTCATAGAAGTAGGAAGGCAATTATTGCTTCCCGGTTGATAACGCTGTAGTTGATTTCTTCTTAAAATACCTAAAGTAGAAAGACCGTTAGTATTTGTGTGAACCCAGAGCGCAGGAGACAGCTGCTTGAGATCCTTCACACACACACGGAATGTTTGAGTTGTTTTTTGGAGTTGCACTAAGGACGCTAAATTGTTGACAGATGCTGTAATCACGACTATTGCTTGTTTACACCATCTCTTAGCCCGCAACTTAGGCAAGAGCATACCAAAGACGACATGGGAAGTAAAGTATATTTCCACCACAATAACGTATGATTCAAAAAATCACCAAGTTTATCTTAATTAGTCTATAATCATGATCAATAAAATAGTGGGCGTGATTTTATGCAGACAATTTCTGATTGGTTTATTTCCAGATTGGACATTGATCGACTATATCAAAATCTTACCACCGGCTACAGACAACCCCAACGTAAGTCAGAAATGTACAGTCTTTGAGACTGGCGTTTTTTAACCTCCTAGCCTTACTTCCCCAGAGCGAAGAATGAGCATATCTAGCTAGTCGGTAATCTGACAGAAACACCCTATAGCTGTTACATCCCTATACGCCGGCAATACAACTTCGCCTTCAGAGTGACTTACACTAACCGCTCATCAAGCGACCTTTCGGGAAGGATAGGGCCTACAGAAACATTCGTTCTACCACCTATGGATCTTTGGATCACTGGGATATACAAAGCTGATCACCACACCATGTAAGCAGTCATTGGTCGCGTGCGGCATCGTTATTACCACCTGGGAGTACTGCACAAGGAGCTGTTTCGTCCTAGATTTATCTTTTATCTAACACCACCCTCTTCACTCACAACTCTCCCCTTGCATCTCATCAGGCAAAACCAGAAGCCTATATAGAAAACTATATGCTCGCACTAGCAAGTACAAAAACTCAACCATACCCTACTTAGCTCGTGTTCTGTATGATAAAGAAAGCATTAGGCCTGACACCTGTAATTCATTAAATAGTCACTAGAACAACTGGATCTCGTCTTTCCAACTCATATCATTTATAGGTACAACGTTTTCTTTCTTTCTTTTCCTTTTCTCTCTTTTTCTTTCTTTTTCTCCGTTATGTGCTGTTTTGTTTGTTTCTTCCGCTTATGCCAGTAAATATGATAGCACCTACTTTTCTAACACCTTCAAACACTGTTCAACTTCACCTTTGCTACCGACATGCCAATATGTTGTTGTCATAATGAACTGAGATTTCCTTAATCTATGTAGAATTTAATTTATTGATAAAGTACTGACTGGATGCAATACTGTAGTAAAAATGCTGAGAATTCCATTCTGTATCACAAGTAGTGTTTTGGAATAAAGAAAATTATTATTACTATTATTATTATTAGTTTGAGACTCCGTCTCAACAGTACGCACCCACTGTAGTACAAACCAAGGACCACTCGGTTATAAGGTAAGCTTGTAGGCCATTGAGCCACTGGGATTCGATCTGATGGCCCATGAAATCCAATTTCTGCCCGTGGCTGAATAGTCTACGAGGACCTCGTTTTAGAAACCCCAGTAGGTAAGTCCTGCTGGAGCAGAGTCCCAAACTAGGACGAAACAGTTGTGTACAGCAGTCCTTCCTAGTTTTCTAATGGTACTCTAACTGATGTCAACTCGCGGCCAAACAGATGTAACCAATCAAACCCCACGCTAACCGACACTTCGTAGACAAGATCACACACATATATGAATATAAATATATTAATCTTTTCATAGAAAAACCACACAGCAAAAATATTTTCTTGTAATAAATAATAAAGTTATGCAATATCAAACACAGGGTGGAAGAAAAAGTTTTTGTTAAAATTTATCCAAAGCTGGATGATCTGGTAAGTGTATTTTGGTCATATCTCTAACTAAATCAAATTGTGGCGAATCTTTTGTTTTTATAATTTCAAATAATAATGACTCTGTTGTTGTGATTATCGCCCCAGTTGAACTTAAACGCTGAAAGCAAAAACATTAAAGGGGAATAATAACAAGAATGAATGATAAATGACCCGCCATATTATGTAGTGACGCATTTAAACAAATAGTTTATAATTCCCGCCATATTTAAAATTTGTTATTTAATAGAAAGTAAATGAATAATAAAAATATAACCGTATCCAGCATATTTGTACATACATAAACGTGTGTATAAGATGTATAATTGTTTTGGGGATTTCACATCATTGAATCGACTGTTCAGGTAACCAGGTTACAGCTTTATATTGATTTAATGATATACTACTTAAATAAAATACATTGATGTTTATTTGGTATTTATATTCGGGGATTATGCAGAGATATGGATTAGTTTTAATGCTGATTTCATCACGAATTAGTACCAGTGTGCACTAATGAAGAGTCTCAAAATAGGCCGAAACAACTGTCGAATGCCTACATGTTTTCAACGCCATATATCAAGTGATCCATAAAGGCAGACTCAGTGAAGAAGCCTATCTATGAAGTGAAGACAAGGCTGCTTACAACCTCCACCAACGATATTACCAATTGTGGTCGACTGGATGGATTATGCAGAATATTGTAAGTGGGGGAGCAGGAAGACAGAAATACGTTGGACTGACCGATAAGAAGACTCTAGAAGATCTCAACTCCACGGTTGATTTGTATTTGATGTCACCTGAATATTCGAACACCTCTAAGCAAAAATCAACAAACTAGCAGAAGAAGTAGGCAGCAAAACCAGGACTTCAGTTGAACATAGAGAACATGGAGGTGACAAAGATAACCAACCAACCAACCAACCAACAACAACGAGCCACAATCACTATCAACCGAAGAAATTTGATAGAGATCACTTTCATTTATATAGGCGTCATCGTTCCAACTACAGGTGGCTAGTACAGATGAGGGTGTCAAAACCATAATCGGAAAGGCAACGCAGGCCTTCATCACTCTGAAATCAGTTTGAAAATCATCCACACACACTCAGCATAAAGAAATAAATTCGGATTTTCAACACCAATGTTAAACCAGTCAGTCAGTTCTTCTCTATATGGGTCAGAAACTTAACGTGAGCGTCACAAAAAGTATTTCCAACGGACTACTGCAGATTTTCATCAACAGCTGCCCAATTCGCTGGCTCCATACTGAAGATCATATAACCCGCCAGAAAAAATCACTAACAAGAAACTGTGGGGACGAACCAATCGAGAACCTATTCCTTAACAAATGTTTAGAAGTATATATTATATGAGGACGGATATTCAGAAAAAAGTTGTTAAAGTCCCCATGACTGACTGACTGACTAACTGGTTTCAACATAGAACTTTGCACCGATGTGCAGCAGTTTAAGTCGCCACACTCAATGTAGCACACAAAGCAAGAGAAGAAAGTAAAAAGAAACGCAAAATAGAGACAGTAAACAGAGATATGAGACAAAAAGAGTAGTAATAACGGAGAAGAATATAGTTTTACTGGAGACATCTGCACCATCACTTAGATCGATTTTGAGCCATATAACCGATTGTCTCCAACCGTTGGTTTTCACTGTGTCCCGAGGACCCCAACCATGAAGTCTACACCTCCCTACGTGGCTGGTTGGCTTAAACTAACTGTTATGGATTTCATTGACTGATGCCGCCATGTTTTCGTTTGACCACACCACTGGCTCTTCTCCAACCTGATTAATCCTACATCAGTTAACACTGGCCGTCGAGGAAGGCGATGACTGGGCATACGTAACACATGTCCTAACCATCTCTCTCAATCCATGTAACTTCACAACCACCTCGTCTATTGATTTCCCCTCCAATTCACCTAGCACTCGACCAAGGCCTAACCTCAATATTGCTCATCTTATTATACCACTTCACACGGGAGATAGAACGCAGGCACCTATGATCAAAGACAGTTAGCCGGCCTTTTCATGTCTCCATGATGAGGACAGATGGTAAGAAATGCCTGTGCAAACAATACAGCAGAAAAGTGTATATGCTTTACTATTCAAAGGAGACAAAACTATCGAATTGCACGCATCGAAAATCCCGAAAATAATAGCTAAAACATTTTTTGCCACACGAAAAGCTTTCATCTCTCTGTTGCATATATTTTCTCTCTTTCGGCCTGTTTTAATTGATTAAGATATGACCACTAATAGTATTATCGGGTCTTGTGTGTATTTCAAATGTTATCAAGCTCCAAATTCACAAAAATCCTACTAAACTTGAGGAGAGGCCTGATGATTGTGGATGACAATGTGATCCAATACATCGGATGACTGTTCTTCAGTTATGTTCTTGGGTCTCAAAATGTACTTATTTATTTTTATTTTGATTACAGCTTGATGCCATACCGTATTTTCAGTACAAGTATGGAATTTTCAGCATGGATATCGGTAGGCCAAATTTTGCAGGCCAACCATAGATATCCGGTGTGCGTCGGCAGGCAGGGGATCGAACCCCGGACCATATGCATGGTCGGCGAGAGTCCTTACCACTGTGCCATCGACGCACACCTTACAATTGGCTTTCAACTAGATATCATAGACTTCTTGAAGAAGACAAAGCAGATATATCATAATGGAATGGTTTGTGGTTCATCAGCTCAGAGACCATTGTGTATCACAGAATATACTCTCAATTAATATTTTGTAATTTATCCACTTCAACTCTACCCCTTATAACACTTTAATTATCGTTATTCTTATCAATTGTATATGTATATTGACTGAGCAATTATTTAGTGCCACTTAATAACCTTTTTCTGTAATATAAATACGAATGTACAGCTTGAAAATGAAGTCGTTGAAAAGAAATTTCTTCGCTGAACACAAAAAAATTTCAATATAGAAAAAATCCCCATTTAGACATTTGGAAAACAGGAAAATTGAGCTAAGAAATATTTACTTTTCAATTAGATCCTCATCTCTGGCTCTATTAGAGTAGAGTTTATTATATTAGAGTATATTAGAGTAGAGCCAGAGATGAGGATCTAATTGAAAAGTAAATATTTCTTCGCTCAATCTTTCTGTTTTCCAAAAAAAATTAATATTTTGACGAGTTGATCATGGATTGATATCAGTTAGAGAACCATTGAAAACCAGAGGGGAGTACTGGACAGCTTGTTTCATCCAACTAGTTTGGGAATCATCGGCAGTACGCACCCACCAACAGCGTTTGAACCCAGGACCTTCCGGTTACAAGGCCAGCAAGCTCGTATACCACTCAGCCACTGGGACCCGATTCAATGGACCATGAATTCCAACTTCTACCAATTCGTGATGTTAGCGCGACTGGCGCCAACCAATGTCATCGGTGGGACATCCATCCTCACACTAGAATGGATGGACCATCTCACTGGTCACGACTTTTCGCTAGAATCCAGTGCCAGGGGCTGAATGGTATATGAGCTTGCATTGTAACCGGTAGGTCTTGGGCTCGAACCCTGGCAGTGGGTGCGTACTGCTCATGTTTCCCAAACTAGTTGGATGAAACAGCCGGCTGTCCAATACTCCCTACTGCTTTTCAATGGTTCTCTAACTGATATCAATCTGTGATCAACTCGTCAAAACAAATCTAATCCTTACAAACCAACTGTTGAAAATTAATATTTTACTTGAAGATACTGTACGAAGGGAAAATATCATGCAATAAACCCCTCTGAAAATTCTGTACATTTCATAAATACTGTCCAGAATAAAAATATTATTATAATTATAATTATTAAAATTCAACACTGGTTGCATAATTCCAATGTAAGTAAAAGATAAGCTACTGCAGTCTGGTCACCTCAAGTTCATTTATAAATTTAACTGTTCTTGTGGAGACAGTAAAGTAGATTGAACGACTCAGGAAGCCCGGTCCATCGGTCGGTTTTCGACATAGAACTTTGCACTGATGTGCGGCTGTTCAGGTCGTCACACTCCCTCCTTGTCGCACACAAAGCAAGAGAAGGAAGTAGAAGAAATGCATAATGGAAACAGTAAACAGAGGTGTGAGACAAAGGAATAGTAATAACGGAGAACAAAACAGTTTAATTGGAAATCATAAGTCACAAGGAGTGGATGCATCTGCGCCACTGAGAACGATTTTGAGCCATGTCACCAATTGTTTCCAACCATTGGTTTTTACTGTCCCGAGGACCCCAACCAGGAAGTCTACATCTTCCTACGTGGCTTAGATTAACTGTTGTAGATTTCATTGATTGGTGCCATGTTTTCGTTTGACCGCCGCTAGCTCTTTTCCAGCCTGGCCCTATATCAGCTAACATTGCCCGTCGAGGAAGGCGATGACTAGGCATACGTAGCACATGTCCTAACCATCTCAGTCGAAGTAATTTCACCGTTTCGTCGATTGATTTCCCCGCCTTACCTAGCACTCGACGCCTAACCTCAATATTGCTCACCTTATTATACCACTTCACACGGGAGAGAGAACGCAGACACCTATGATCGAAGACAGCTAATCTTTTCATGTCTTCTGCTCTCAATGGCCAGGTCTCACAGCCATAAAGGATGGCGGAGCGGACTGTTGAGCAGTACACATGCCCTTTGGTCGATAGTCGGATATCACGTCTACGCCAGAGACGGCGTAAACTGGCATATGCGAACCTAGCCCTCTGTATTCGTGCTGAGATTTCATCGGAGATCAACCTGTTGGGGCTGATGGTACTTCTCAAGTAAGTGACGCGGTCAACGTGCTCTTAGACTTCACTTCCTATTTCTAATCTAGGGGTCGGTGAAGTCCAATCCTGCAGCATCAATCTTACATTTTACAGGGGCGAATCGCATGCCAAACATACGAAGATTGTTGCTCAAGGTGTTCAGTAGACTTTGCATTTTATCTCAAGAAGCCTACTGTCACTTTCTTCAGCACTGTTCAACTCGGTTAGATAGAGGAGTCGTAAAGTCAATCGGGGGTTTCCTATTGGATACAGACGGATCACAGTATTGTTAAAAGTTCAGCCTTTACGATTGCCTATGCTTGTAGGTCTTCGATTGACAAGCATAGCTGGGAAAGTCACCGTGAAGGATTTTCCAGCCCAATCTTTGTGTTTAGAAGAATTTCTTTCAATCCCTCTCCTTCCCATGGACCTTAGCCACAACCCAGAATAGTTATCTCTCGTCCCAGATCAGGACGAAACGGGTGGCACAGCGAATAGGACGCTCGCCGACTATGCATATGGTCCGGGGTTCGATCCTCGGCCGATGCACATCTGATATCAATGGTCGGCCTGCTAAATTTGGGCTACCGATATCACATGATGAAAATTCCATACTTGTATCAAAAATACTGTGTTGAGTCAAGCCATAATAAAATAAAATTAATTCACTTCAATTCAATGGTACTCGAACTGAAGTCCCTCGTTAACCAAACTTAAGACCAAATTTCATGTAGTTTTTAAAAAAATACGAAAAGACTTCATCACGAACCAACATCAATTAGAGATGTACTAAAAACGAAGGAACACTGAATAGCTGTCTCATCCTAGTTCGGGACTCTTCAGCAATGCGCACCAACCCTTTGGGATCTTTATCTCCACAAAACTCATAGACTAAATAAACGGATGTTTCTTAAATGTCCTTAAACCTAGAATTTTTCGCAATAAATACTCAGTATTCAGAAGAAAATGAAACGAAAATATTGAAAACAAAAATAAAATTCACCTTTAAAGCGATCCGCATATCAACAGCACTTTGAGAACTACAGGCATCAGCTACAATGACAACTTTGTATTTATCTTCTATTAATTGTAAAGCTGTTTGAAGAACACATATATGCGTCTGAATGAAAAATAATAATGCGGGAGAGAAGACAAAAGCACAGGAGTTTTAGAAGAATGTGATGAGTGATGGTGACGAGCACAGATAAGAGAATGAATGGTACAATATCCTCCAAACCCATCTCTTACTTAATTATGCTTATTCGATTTGAACCAGACGAGACAGTTTGTGACTGACAGGCAGTACAACCTGAGATGTGCACTTCGTCCTATTTCGGACTCATCATCAGCGGGATGTATTCGAAATCTCCAATGAGTAACGGTTTTCCCCTCACACACTGAGACTGAAACCCAGTCAAAGCAGTATCCACTCAGTCAGTCACTTGGACTGTGTGAGTCGTCTCTTGTGCAACGAGTATTAGTTATAATTATTGTTTCCCGTTGATTGGTTGGCCTCCATTGATGAGTTTCAAACAAGACGAAATGCGCATGCTAGATTCCTCAATGCTAGTCGCCATTCACAAAATATTATTATTATTTCCTTGAGTTCCGACTAGAGAATAAGGGGTTCAGCAGAACATCTCCATTTTGTCGTGTTCCCTGATGTCCTGTTTAGCTGGCTCCACTATTGCCTACAAGCTTTCATCTCCTCCTCGGACGATTTCCTTCATGTCAACCTCCAAAGTCGTCATTTTCCACTCGGTTCCCAAACTGGTTTTAGGTTGATGAACATCTTCCTTGTCTTTCCGATTTTCGCTTTGAAATCCTGCAGTTGAAACGATTCTACGCAGATGAATGAATGTGGATTCATATTTCTTTCCGTTGGTAATGATTGTTGGTGCTTGTTGTTATTGTTGTTGATTGGTTATCCTCATCACCTCCGTCTTCCCTGTGTTCAGCTGGCGTCCTGTCTTTGCTGGTTCTGCAGCCACTCTGTTGGTTTTCACCTGCAAGTCTTCGAGTTTGTGTGAGTGACATCACACATAAATCATTTGCGAAATCGAGATCTTCTGGAGACTTCTTACGCATCCGACGTATTACTGTCTTCTAGCCCCCCACTCACGATGTGCTGCATAATCCAATCCACCACAATCAGGAATATCATTGTCGGTGATAATAGGCAGCCAGCTTGTCTTACTCCTGTATTCACTTCAAACGCCTCGCTAAGTTTTCCGTTCTAGATCACTTGACATGTGGTTGATTGAGGTTGATAAAGATTTGAAGCACGCCGTAGTGTTGTAGTTTCCAAATTACTTCTTGGTCAACGCTGTCTGTCGAAGGCCTTCTCGAAGTCGATAAAGTTGACGTAGAGGTTCAAATTCCATTTTATGCTTTGTTCGATGATGATGATGCGTATAGTTGTAATTTGATCAGCGCATGATTTGCCTTTCATGGATCCAGCTTATTCCGACCGGCGTTCTGTATTCCATGCATCTTTTATCCTCTCCAGGATGACACGACTTGATATTTTATTTGGCATGGACAAGAACATAATTCCGCGCCAGTTCTTTCAGGGGTCTAAGTAACCCTTCTTCGGTAGCTTGACGAGGTAAACAATGTTTCTTCCAATAAGTAGGTACCTTTCTATCTTTCCGTGCACTTTTGCAATAGTGGCATCAGCACATCCACTGCTATCTCTGGATCCATTTTCAGTGTTTCAGCATGAAGGAATTCCATCTAGTCCTGTTGCCTTTCCCGCTGACTTTCAGTAGCTTGATTACACTCAATACTTGGAGGATTGGTATCCACTGGCAGTTCTACAAGTTGCACATGGTAGTCGATTCACAAGCATCTTTTGAATGAAGTGATCAGTCTATGACTATCTTTCATTGATTTCATCAGTGTTAATCCCCTCACCAAATGACATCATGTTAATCCTCAGAATATCGTAAAAGTGTCTGCCTTGCTGGGAGCCAATATGTCAATAAAAATCAATTAACTAAAAGTATGTCCTTCTCCCAGCTTAAATATTAAAATACACGCTATTTGGTCATAGTTTTACACTGGTAACTAGTGCAACGTGTCTAGTCCTTTCTTTGGTGCAGACTGAATTCTATCAGTCAGGTTTTACAATGTGGACACCATTCTAGGTAGCTCGCCGTCACAGTGCACATTGATTTGATGATATTAGATTATTATTATTGTTTCCTTTAATTCCTAGAGGAACATAGAGCTTCAGCCGTGCATCTCCATTGGGTTCGGTTCTCTGCTAGAGTCTTCACCTGGCTCCAAGTCTGCCCACACGCTTTCACCTCCTCTTCACATGACCTCCTCCAAGTCACCCTTGCACTGACTACCAACTCGCCACTTCCCTTTCGGGTTCCACTCGAGCAATGGCTTGTCTAGTGATGTCACTCACTTGATGGTTTCCTCAGAGTATGGCCAATCCATCTCCATTTCTTCCTGCCTATTTGTTTCACAATCGGTTCCTGCTGCGTTGGTTCGTTCATTGCCAGAGATCTCTGTTGCTGATCTTTTCTGGCTGGCCATCTGATCTTGAGTATTGAGCGAAGACAACTGTTAATGAAGGTCTGTAGTTTGTTTGAGATGCTCTCTATGACGCGCAGTGCAAGTCTCTGATCCGTATAGTAAGTAGTGCTGAATTCACATTGGAGTTGAAAATCCGGATCTTATTTTTGATGCTGAGTGCAGTTGACCTCCACACAGACTTGAGAGTAGTGAAAGATTGTCTTGCTTTTCCGATTCTTGCTCTGATATCCTCGTCAGTTCTGCCTGTAGCGGAAACGATGCCTCCCAGGTAGGTAAAGAAGGATGTTTCTTTCAGGTTCCTCCCATTTATGCTGATCGTTTCTGTTGTTGTTGTTCTTGTCCAGGAATTTTCATTAGCTCTATTTTCGCTATGTTCACCTGAAGTCCTATCTTTGATGCTTCTTCTGCCAACTTGTTGCTTTTCATTTGCATATCCTCCAGTTTGTGGGAAATCAGACATATATCATCGGCGAAGTCCAGATCCTCCAAGTTTTTTGTGAGTTCATTTTAAGCCTGTTTCCTCATTGCGCGTCGGCGGCACAGTGGTTAGGATGTTCGCCGACCATGCACATGGTCCAGGGTTCGATCCCCGACCGACGCACTCCTTTACCTCGCCAAACCAGTAATAAAAAGCCGGTAAAGAGGAAAGGTCGGGCATGAGGCTAGCAACCTCATCCTGTAAAAAATAAACACTGCTACAGAAACTTCAAGCCTCTAGCCTGAAGCCCTATTTCAACTGGGAACGTGAAGGAATATATATATATATATATATATATATATATATAGAGAGAGAGAGAGAGAGAGAGAGAATCAATAGTTTCGATTATCAAAAGTACATGAAATATTATTACAATTTAAGACTTACTTCCAAACCAAATAAAACAACAACATAATCCCGAAACTCTTTCATTTTATCAGCAATTAATCCAGGATACATGGAGAATGTTTTCTTGTCAACCACGCATAGAGCATGAGAAATATCTAAATTGTTGACTGTATTGCCAAGACCTTTCGAATACTAATTAGCAGTAGGGATGAGGGGGAGGGAAAAAAATCAATAATAATATATGTATAGATGTATATGTATGTAGACTACCTGTTCTGTCACAATCAATGGGATTCCAATTGCTTTACCTAAACTTAACTGGATTCAATATCATCATCATCCGTTCGGGTTGATATTAGGAAGAATAAAAAATAACTTACAAGATTAGAGATACGTCGAGTAACATTTTCTGAGTCCAAGACAACATTTAACAGACTTTTTTGTACATCACACATAAAGAATATTGTACGTTTTGGATCCAACATTGTTTTTCGTTTTGTTTAGAGAATCTGATAATATTCAGTCGATTTTGTGAAGAACCTGAAAGAAAAAGAGAAAGAAACCTTCAGGCATAAATCCGACCTAAACAAACTGGTTGGCTCTCACGAGGTGTGCAACATAAATGGCACTGAAATAGAAACCAAGTGGGAAATTAAATACCTAGGCGTCATTCTATCTGCTGATCTTTCCTGGTCGTCTCATATATCTTGGCGATTTCTAAGAAAATATTCCGTCTTACCTTCTACATCAAGAAGTTAAGACATTCTGGAATAACCCTCCAACCCTTACTCCTACAATTCGTTAATTCTCGCATTCTGCCTATTATTCTCTATTGTTCCCCCTTAGTTTTTCCCGGGCTACTGAAGAAGAACTATACCCTATTACGCAGGATGTTGAAGGTTGTCAGGAGGGTAAGCAACGTGCCTCTTAACCAGCTTGTTAATATTCTGGTTGACAAGCACATGGACTCATATGAAAAAGGGGCCAAATCCATTTTATCTAACTCACATCACCCTCTTCACACACTACTGTCCCCTTGCATCTCATCAGGCAAAACCAGAAGCCTATATAGAAAACTATTTGCTCGCACCAGCAAGTACAAAAACTCAACCATACCTTACTTAGCTCGTGTTCTGTGCGATAAAGAAAGCATTAGGCATGACACCTATAATTCATTAAATAGTCAGTAGAACAACTGGACCTCGTCTTTCCAACTCATATCATTCATAGGTACAACATTTTCTTTCTTTCTTTTCCTTTTCTCTCTCTCTCTCTCTTTTCCGTTATGTGCTGCTTTGTTTCTTTCTTCCGCTTACGCCAGTAAATATGATAGCACCTACTTTTCTAACACCTTCAAACACTGTTCAACTTTGGTTTTGCTACCGACATGCCAATATGTTGTTGTCATAATGAACTGAGATTTCCTTAATCTATGTAGAATTTAATTTATTGATAATGTACTAACTGGATGCAATACTGTAGTAAAAATGCTGAGAATTCCATTCTGTATCACAAGTAGTGTTTTGGAACAAAGAAATTATTATTAATAGCTGCCTTCGTTCCATACTGACCGACTAGTTTCAACAGAGAACTTTGCATAGAAGTGCAGAAGTTACCACTCTCTAGGTAGCACACAAACCAAGCGAAGAAACTAAAGAGATTGAGGAGAAAAGAATAGTAGTAATATGGGAGAACAATAGAGTATTATTGCATACAACTGACAAATCACAAAGAGTGAAACAATC